TGAGAGACACAAATCCACTCAACACAAACTAGGCTATGGTAGATGAATTTTTTTTATATCGAGCTTTACAAAAGAAATAGGATAGAATGTCTTACAAAGAAGCCAATGTATTTGAATGACAATCTGTGTTAAATTGAACATTTTAGATATGTAATAACTCCGATAACTATGTATACGTTTATTGAATGATATTGATCTGTATATTATTAACATCCATAAAAAAAAACCTCAACAGGTGGCTTTGTTACAGTTTGTTACACTTTAATACACTGTAAACTTGTGCATTGAATTTACCTCCCAGGTACTGGGTTCGATTCCAGTGTTGGTCAAAAAAATGTCTTTGGGTTTTGTGTGCCGGTTTCTTCTTGTCAGTGGGACAGTCAGGACCTGGCTAGTTGTTTGTAAGGGATGAAAAAAAATAAGTTCCCATACATCATGTACATACACTTTGGTGTGCATGTAAAAGAACCCCTTGGAATTTGAATGAAAAGAAGGCAATAATAGCACTGGTATGCTAACAAAATTCCCACATACATGTGTACCACACTGTTGTGCATATGCCCTGGTTGATGCAGAAAGTAGGATGTCTCATTTTGATTTTAGATCAGTGGCAAAAGACATTCCTATCCTAATTGGATAATCAAAAATCATATTTTGCCAGTGGCATTGATAGTCGCATTGAAACTGAGTAAGTTGACTTAATATTTTACTTGACCTACGTGTACAGGTAAATCTTTTTTCTTGGTTGATCAGATGGCCAATATTGTGTTTAAACTTTGATTTAAGAGAATAAACAAAGTCTGGGTTTGATACAATTGAATATACCACAGTGGCATTCAACAATAAAATAGAAAATCCCACCAATGATCCGATTTCAAGCTCTCTCAGTCCAGTCGTGAGCAAAAAGATCACAGAAATATTATGTGCGTGATCTTAAGACAACTAGTATAATATCCATAGACTGGAAGCCAATCTAGTTTGACAGTTCTATTCTGAGGAAGAGTACCTTAGGTGGAAACACAACTTATCTAATAAAAATATTTTCTTTGTATTCCTTTACATGATGTGGATTAAGCCATTGAAAGCTATATATTGCCAGAAAAATGCTCTCTCCTTTCCTTTATTTTGTCATATTGGAATCATAAGCTGATTATTATCTTTGTTAAAGACATTTTCTTTTCCTCCATAAAATCTCAGAGGATTATACTGCATCCTTCCAAAAAATTATAGTGGTAATTTGAATTGACAGCGCTGGTTACTGGGATGGAAAAATATACATGCATTTTATTGATTTGGCAAGGGAATAATGTTATGATAGTCCATTATATTGTGTAATATGACTCTCTGTATAATAATGCTGACACCTAATGGATGTTATTTAAGATAACTCAATGATGTGTTCAGTTGTTGAACCCAGAACTCATGGCCATTACAAGTGCAGGCATATCAACATCCTTGTCTTCAAATTACCTTAAAATTAATTGCAAAGCCAATGATCTTGTTTTATTGTGTTTTTTTGATGTGAATGAAAAATGGTGTTTTGTACATGTATGAGTCAACTGGCATGGTTTCGATTCCCCGGTTGTACATGACAAGGAGTAGGGTCATCTGTCCAACCTCATCGGTTTCCTCCCACTGTTAAATGCCCCTGAAATAAAATAAAAATAAAATTGAAACATGTGTTAATCCCAAAATGACCTAGTTTGTGTTGGGTGGACGTTAAACCCCATTTCTCTCTCTCTCCACCCCACTATGTTAAAATGTACAGCAGATATGACTATGGGATTTTACATTATAAAGATGCATTATGCAAGAGCTAAACCTGTCTATTAGATGTCTTTGTTGTGACTTCAAATGTTATTTGAATTATAATTTAGACATTTATTCAGATAACATGTCCAACAACAAGACTCTAGACCAGGTATGCTATTTCAATATTTTGCTTGTTTGTTATGTTGACTTAGATCGTGAACTGAATGACTGTTAAAAGTTAGTTTACAAGTTTTTGACTTATCTTTGACAAATTAAAAACCATGAATTAAGATATAAAGGATTAAGATATAAACAAAATCACATAGATTAAGGAAGTCAATCAAGATAGATTAAGTAGTTAATCAATTAAGGTAGGTGTTTAACACCATAAAAGTGTTGATCATATAGTCACCTAAATCAATCCAGCCTTTTATCAACTGTAATTGAGATGAGTAGTTACATGTATACACTCAGTACAGTCAATATAATTTGGAATTTTGAATATTATTCACCATATCTTGATGTCCGATTGGGCATATTCCTGGTCTGACATTTGGAAAGTCGCGTTTATATAATATACGTGTTTGACCCACAGCTCAAGGCAGATGATGTGTGCGAGCAGACTGTAGAAGCGAATGCTGGATAGCCAGAATTTCATTCCTGTAATTTGACTTGATTTCTTCTCTACAATCTCCAGAGAGGGAGGCTCAAGTGGGCAAAAGCAGTTGATATACCAACAGTCTATGGTTGACCCGTTCTGGCGTTCTGCTATTTTATTCTGCTTTGTGAATGTTAAAAACCTAATATCATCGTTTATAATTTTGATCTTATCAGTCTTTTATGTATTAAATACTCAATTAAGTGTAATTATTTGTCCTGTAACTGTCAATTTGATGAGTTTTTATGAGAGAGATATTTATGTTATTACTTAGCCTGTGGGTAAACAGTCTTGGTGTTTAATGTATTGATTAATGATTGTTATATTTACTGGTGGTAATATCTGATAACGGACCGTTTTGTTATCTTAATTCGTGTATATTTATTCACAGAGGTTGGCATAGTTTCGATCACCAGCTTGTATGTTACAAGGAGTCGCGTCTCCTGTAATCTGGAAAAATGTAGTTAGTCAAATTTTGGTGAAAATTGAGTTAGATCCATATTTGGACTTACTAAGTTTTTCTTCTTCAGATGTTATATCTTCATCTAAAAAGCCAAAATCTAAATTTGTTTCATATTCAGTAAGGTAGCTTAATCCTGAAACAAAACAGTTTTCCTTTTTATCTCAAATTCAACAGACTTAGACTAGGAGAGGTGGCTTGTTCAACCGTCTCCATGTTCTCCAGTTCTCTCCCATTGCTAAAGATCCCCCAACAACCCCCTTATAAATGGTTCTTTTATGATAGACATACATTGTACATGTAACAAGTATATCAACAGCAAATAATTTAGCAAGGACTACTGGTAGTCATAAATTTCAACTAGGTGACATTAAAATCTGTCACTGAGCTTTTTGCATTAAAAAAAGATTTTCTAGTGGTTTTTAAAGCCTAAGTAAAGATTTGAACAAGTCCTAGTAATTGAGTATAGAATTTCAATGCTAACATTAACAACATGTTTTTTCTATGCATGACTTACGTATGCTCTAGTCACTGTATAGTTTGGGTGGTTGATCATAAGGTCTGTCATGGAATTGAGTCGCATAATTTTGATCCCAAGATTGTACTTGATAAGGAGTATGGTCATCTGCCAAACTTCATGTTTTCTCTCTGTGTCCTAAGATTTCCTCCCACTGCTAAAAACCTTGATGCGCAAGCGAATTATTGAAATAACATTCTACCATATGTTTGTCCCAAAATGACAGTTTATGTCGATTGGATGTTAAACCCAATTACTCATGTTTTCTTTGTGCATTGTACATATTATATGTCATATTGTATGTCCATTTAATTTATTTTAAAGCCTTATAAATTCTAAGTAAAGATTTGAACACATCTCTAATTGAAATGAAATGGTGTTTAACGTCGCACTCATCTGTTGTTATTGAGTATAGAATTCCAATGCTAACATAATTGTCTTAAACTTGTTTAACTATTCATGACCTATACTCTCGTCTAGTTTCTGTACATAGTACTATACATGTATGTACATACTGTATGTCATTGTATGGTTAGAAAACCTATATTTGTTATCCAACCTGTTGTTCATTAATCTCTTTCTCTGTTGGCATGTCGTGGATATCTTGACGTTTAATTGGCTAAATTTATATTTCTGCTGTAAATTCAGGTGGCTATAATTAATTATGATCATCTTATTTTTTAAATATTTGAAATAGTCTACACTGCAAGTGACCTAACACATGCTCCGTATCTAAAATTGCTTTGTGTCAATTTTTATTTCTTGGTTTTGAAGAGGCATTATCACTCTTATACAGAAAACAAGAAAACTCAGACATCAACAAAACATTATCCTGGGATTTCAGAAAATGTTTGCATATTGAAGACTTTGAATTATTACATGTTATCACTCAGTGAGTAAGATGTTTGCTCACTAACCATTTCTCAGGTTCACTCCCGGTGTTGGCCAAAAAAGTTCCTCAAATGAAGCTAAAACCTGAGGTCCTGTGCACACAATGGCGAGCATGTAAAAGAACCCTTGACAGTTAAAATTCGAAATAAGAGTAAGTCAGAGTACTTCTGTGCTGTCAAGGCAAAATTTCCCTCATAGCTTACTGTAAATATACCTGTCTTCATTAGCACATTCAGGGCCAAGCCTGGAAATAAGGCACCTGTCACAGACAATGTCAGGCACAAATACAGGCTTTGTCAGCTACAAAACCTTTGGTCCCTGTCATTTTGTCCGGCACTGATTTGTCATTTTTACTGATATTATTAATACATGTACATGTTCGGCACTATGTTGAAAATGTCGGGTACTATTTCATTAGTGCCTGACATTTTTCAGGTACACCTAAAACCGTTATTTCCAGGCCTGTTCAGTGCAGAAAAGTAGGACATTAAAAACCCTATTTCATTTCATTGGAAGGTGCTCTGTTCCATCCCTCTTTCATCTCTCCTTCATCTTGCATACCCATTTTAGCCTAACACCTCGTTGCACAATCCATAGTGGGCAAAAACCGGCTGATAAATGGAGAAGGGAAGTGGAGTTCAAAGACACTTTGTTTCTATACCAATTGATAAATTTCCTCTCCTGTACATTATGCTTCATGAACTTGTTTAATTCTTTTTCAGATCGGAGATTTGGAAGATCACTATTTTTTGGAAATACCACAACGTGAACGTAGATCTGCAAGCCATAGTCAAGAACATCATGATCTGTTATCAAGCCATTCAGACGTAAGTCAACATACCCTACCTTTTTATTCAACTTCCATTCTCAAAGAATAAAGCTGAGATCAATGACAGCCATAATATTTCTAACTTGATCCACATGTTAACTATCTTATCATTTAATTAAACTTTTTTTTAAATTAATCATTCATGAAAACAAACAAATTTTATCAGAGATCGTGACTAAGAGAAATCATGCTTTTGTTTCGTCAACAAGATCTGGTTTGTTTAGAACTATAAGAATAAGATATGAATAATCAGTTTAGTGCAGTGCAGAATATCCAGCTTAGATGTATCATTAATTGAATTGGAAATATTTCTTTTAGACCAAAATAAAGTGTTGAATTTGGTTAATCTCATATCGTCGGTGAAGTGTCAAAAGGTTGTATCTCTGGAAATTAGTCAAATACACTTTTTTGCATTTTTAAAATCTCACAATTAATATGCACATTTCTGTCTAAGCTGTGTGTCTCTACGCCAATTAGAAGTGTTCTGGGTATCATGTGTCCAAATGTTGTATCTTGATTTGTGGAAATTTTGAAATCTTTAGAAATTCTTAAATACACCCTTTTGACACTTCACCGATGATATGTAATATTGGTAAGAAATTAGTGTGGGCACAATATATCGTTGAATTGATGTATCATGATTCGCCTTCTCACAATTCGTGTATTGAATTGCGAACCTCTGAATTGATTTTTTTTTTTTTTTTTTTTTGTCGCTTCAGTAACTGCATTTGTACATGTAGATACCTGTAAATTATTCATTTAACCTGTTGTTGTCTTGGTAAATATTTACTTGGTTATGAATCGCGATATGAATCATATCATAGTACCGGAATCGTATCGTGACTGCAGTAGCAATACCCAGCACTAAAGAAATCAAGCAATATATTTTACATAATCTGTAAACTAAATCAAAGTTTATTCAATATGGGGTTTGGATGGTGGAGTGGTCTTACACATTCACTTTAGTTTATAAGGTCTGACCTTGAGTCCAGTGGTGTGGTTACTGTCCCAAGTATCTGAACGACGAAAGGAGTAGAGTTGCCTAGGCCTGTTTGAAATCTGATTGAATTCCAGCCGAGACATTATTTCTAGAGGTTGTGTTTTGATTTTCTTGTCTTAATTAATTTTCCAACCTTGTGGGGTTTTTTTCCAGGTCCTTTGGTTTCCTCCCACTGCTAAAGACCCCTACGTGCAAGCGAATTATTGAAATAAAATTGAACCACATGTTAGTCCCGAAATGACCTAGTTTGTGTCTAGTGGATGTTAACTCTCTCTCTCTCTCTCTCTCTCTCTCTCTCTCTCTCTCTCTCTCATAATTAATTTAAATGTTAAATAATAAATCTGAGTACATTTTAGCGTGGATTAAGTCGTGAGAAATTTGATATTTTAGCGAAAGTGCACGTGATGCATCGTTACTTTAAATGCACAAAAATAGTTATCTCAGAAGAAAAGGAAAACATTAGATTTAATCAAATTGACATTTTCATTTCCCTTTCCAAAATATTGAGGTCTTGTCCTTTTCTAGTAAATGTCAAGTTGAGGGATGACTGTATAAAAACTGAAACCCATTTACATGTAGTAATTTAATGATCTTATTCTACAGTAAGTTAACATGTTTCTCAACGTGTTATAAAGGAAATTCCTGTTTTATCGAAACTATTGTATCAATTTTAGTATCAGATAGGGTGATTTTTTTTAAAATTCTGATTAAAGCGTATGATCATCATTTCCATTTTTCGTAGGGGGTTGAATGGTTAGCGTGCGCGCGCTGTATCATAAAGTCTGTCATTGAGTCGACTGGCGTGGTTTCGAATCCTCGGTTGTACGTGGCAAGGAGTAGGGTCGACTGTCCAACCTCGTGGGTTTTCTCCGGGTCTCTCTGACTGCTAAAGACCCCTACGTGCAAGCGAATTATGTAAATAAAATTAAACCACATGTTAGTCCCGAAATGACCTAGTTTGTGTCGAGTGGACATTAAACCCCATTTCTCTCTCTCTCTCCATTTTTCGTACTCGGACTGTATCTGATTTTTTTTTCAGTAGTTAATTCATGCTAACATGTTACACTTATAGGTGGCACTGGCAGGTTTATATCATAGTTTCAGTTCATCAGATCTTTGAAAATACCAAGTCTGAACATAAGGCACATGTCACAGACTTTGTCAGTCACAAGGGGGGATGGATGGCTGAATGGTTAGCATGTGCGCGCTGTATCATAAAGTCTGTCATTGAGTCGACTGGCGTGGTTTCGAATCCTCGGTTGTACGTGACAAGGAGTAGGGTCACCTGTTCAACCTCGTGGGTTTTCTCCGGGTCCTCTGGTTTCCTCCCACTGCTAAAGACCCCTAAGTGCAAGCGAATTATGTAAATGAAATTAAACCATATGTCAGTCCCGAAATGACCTAGTTTGTGTCGAGTGGACGTTAAACCCCATTTCTCTCTCTCTCTCTTGTCAGTCACAAATTATCATACATATTATGTATTATAATATATATGTGGTGTAATAATTTGTACTTGACAATGGGGGGGATGCACAATGGCTGAGATGGTAAGATGCTGGTTCACTAGTCTGGAGGTTGCAGGTTCGCTCCCGTTGTTGGCCAAGAAAGTTCATTGGGATTTTCCGTTGTGGTTTCTCCTTGTCAGTGATGCAGGATGGATGGCCTGAAAATGATGGCTGTCTAGTCATTCGGATGGGATGAAAAACCAAGGACCAGTTTACACATTGGTGTGCACGTTAAAGATCCTTTGGCAGTTGGAATTTGATATAAGAGTAGGCCATAGCAGTGCTGTCCAGGCAAAATTGTCTTCATAGCGCACTGTTTGGCGTATGCCCGTTTTGTTTATCCCAGTCGGAGCAGAACAGTAGGACGTTAAACCCCATTTCATATCATTTTATTTTATACTTGACAAAGTCTGTGACGAGTGCCTTATGTCCAGACTTGGTAAATACAGAAAAGAATTTAACCACTTTTTGACTCAGATTCTATTTATGGTATTGAAACCCATTTTGAAATCATATGCAACATCCGTCTAAAACATCCATATCATCATCACCCTTTAAACGACCTTGTCAGCAGTACATGTAGGTTTTGTTTTCCCCTGAGAGACTGAAAATCAATTTCAATCAATCTTCATTGAATCTTGTTTAATGCTCTTTTTTGTTCATGGAAATTTTGAACATGTTAGAAATTAACATTAAAACCACTCAATCACTGGACAGTTTCAGCTTTTAATTATTCAACCTGGATCAAATTTCCAATGAAAGACATGTACAAAGAATCCTAATTAGGAATTTCGCAAGAGCTCTTTGATGAAATGTGATGGATAATGCACATGATCTTGATGGAAAAACTAAAGTTTATTTGAAAATACCTGAAGCAGAAATTATCATGAGGTTATATGATTGATTTAAAAGCAATAATTTCTATGTGCGTGTCTCATTAAATTGGTCAACTGCATTCTAAAAAGAGTTTTGAAAAAGGTAAAGTTTGAATTTAGGTATCTCATGGGTGGCTGAAAGGTCTACTGTTTGGGTTTTAGATCATAAGGTCTGTCATTGAGAAAAAACTGACATGGTTTAGATCCAACGCTTATGCGTGATAAGGAGTAGGGTCGCCTGCCAGGCCTACTGGACCTCTGACTTCCTTGCAATGCTAAAGACCCTTACGCTCAAGCAAATTTTTGAAATATTATTGTACCATGTGTTAAGTGAACATTAAACCCCATTTATCTCTCTCTCTATCTATCTCTCTCTCTCTCAGTACATTCTCAATAAATAGGTCAATTCTTTTCTAAAAAGTGTTTGAATAGAGTCTATCATGTTTATATCTTTAACCCTTTCGGGTTTTTTTAGCAATGTGTGATGGCTGGTTCACACATTTATCTATCACAGGTTGAATGTGGTCAAATTAATAGACTACAAAAGATTCAAAACAAAGCTGCAAGAATTGTTACTGGCTAGTGATTAAGACCCCAATCGTTTTTAAAATTCTCTTGCTGACTTTCTGTGATTTGTAATGTTATGCATCTCCTCTGTATATTAAAAATTAATTCAACCCTACCACCCTACCAGAAATCTTCGTTCCGAAACTAAACCTTTCGGTAGACGCTCCTTTGCTTTGCGGCAGCAGAGCTGTGGAATTCTAATGATTTTCCTGTAGAACTCGATCAAGCACTGTGCATCAATTGACAGTTTTAAAGGAATCTTAAAAAAAACATATTTTTAGAAACGTTTTCTTTTAATTTTTGATCATGTACTTCTTTTAACTAGTGTTTTTCTTTTACCTGACCATATAATGTAACCAATTTTAGGACATTATTTTTATTTATTTAAAGTAAAAAATATTTTTAAACAGAGCTGTTGACGTTTTCATTCCTTTAAATCTGGATTATATTTTATAAATTACTGATCAAAAATAACTAGAATCTAAATTGTTTCAATGTTTGATCAGGCCATGATAAACGAATTTATGTGTAACACATAATATCTTAAAATAAGATATTAAAATTAAATTTCAAGTTGTTCTTTCAAGTGTGTAATAGTAAATTTGTAATCTTAATGAGGTTAGGTGGTCAAGCAATCAAACTTGTGCCCCTTAGAGCATATGGTCAGTCATCTATGCAAGTCGTGAGTCTGGTCCCACAATCGTACAAGGTACATGTCATCTACCTACATGGGTCCTGTGTGCAAATGACATATTGAAAATAAGATACCATATGTCATTCCGTAAATGCCAAAGTCTATTTGTGTTGATTAGATATTAAACCTCCTTTTGTACACTCTCATTCATTTCTATTTTTAGAGTCCAATTTGAAAGAAAGAAGTGTTTTTTATTATGATTACACCCATTGAAATTGATTAGACTAAAGCTATCAACATGAATAAACTGAACACAGTATTGTTATTGTTTCAAGATCAAAGAGATTGTTCATGGAACAAAAGTTAATGAAATGGTATTGCCCAAAGCACTGATTAAATCAAGAGGATATAATAATTATAAAAAGTTTGACCTTTCGGTACATTCATCATATTGTGTATATACTCTGTCAATGTTATATTTCAAGGGACACATCGCTTTATTGCCACTAATCAACATTTGTATTTTTCGGACAATATCAAATTTTGTACAGCTTAATCCATGTTCAATGTGACTTGATTATCTAACAATTGACCTGTTCCCCAATTAAGGATGCTAGTGCAGTAAGTGCCATTCATTTTAAAGGGCCAATCCCAATAATTTTTTTCAAGAATAAAACTGCTTAATTTTGTGTTAAAATGCCTTAAAACCCTCTACCTAAGGGCCGAGCAAGTAACTCAATATTTGTGATACTTTTCAAACAACTTAAACCCGTCAGTCTTCATCTGGAAATGAAGACCGGTGTCCCAAACTGTATTATACGCTGTCTGGATAAAACCAGACCTTTTTTTATAAAAATAATATGTAGGTGAAATTTACCGTCCGTTATCAAGTACAGCACAATGGTCATTCACTGTATAGATCTCTCAAGAAACGAGAATCGATTATCAGGTCACTCAACGAAAAAATTGACCCAAAATCTTAAAAGGGTTACATGTCCAGATAAGCAGTTTTAACATTCACGTCCAAACGACTCAATATTTTGAGCTGAAATTTTGAGACAAGGTCAATACACCATGCCTATATATTTTGGTGCTTAAATTTTTGAGACTGTTCTAATCGTGATAGTCCCTTTATATGGGATCATTCTATTTTTACACATAAATCCATTTTTAGCAGATGTTCTTAACAAATTTTTCATTTTTATCTTTCTGATTCCTTTTATGTATTACAGTATAGTATAAGTCAATTTTAGTGTCCTGGTCTAAAAGTATGCAAAAATACTATTTTTAGCAGAATTTGCGAAATTGGCACTTGTCCATCGTATTGCACTAGCATCCTCATTGTCTGTCTTCATTAGCTCAGTCGGTGTAGAAAAATACAAGGATGTTAAACCCCATTTGAAAGACATTCCAAAATCCCTTATTAGATGATACCAGAATCTTTAAATACTTTACCTGTATATTTTGTATAACCTCCTTAATTTTTTAACTTGTACTTCCCTATATTTTACAGTAAAGCACTTTGCTTGACATGAAAATAATGTGTTCAAATTAGATTGTATTCAAACTTGTGAGAAATCTATCAGTCCCTCGCTGAGATACATGTACAGATGTATAATGGTTTGTTAATAATTTTCAAGGAGTTAAATGGATACATACTGTGCATAATGTATTAGTCGAATAGGCTTGTGATGGAATTATCGATAATTAGACTTGTCATGAATTAAATAATTACATTATTCAAGAGCTAAATCTGCCTATTGCAGGTTTTCTTAAGGCCTTTATTGTTATATAAACTATTAATTAGGCACGATAATCAACTCTTGATGCCATCTGATCGGTACGATTTTAAACAGATTTGAGTCAGATTTCTGATTCAACGGCTGTTCTGATTAAATGTAAAAATAGATAATCGAGACTTTGTTTATTACAGTATCAATGGTAATATATGACAATCAAGGCTTTAGTGTTTTTTAACTTTGGTTTTCTCGGCTCAGAGTGAAGTAATTTGACTGACATTTTCCGCATATTCTCTTTACGTTAACTTTTTTTAAAACTATTATAACAAGAAATGTTAGCTCTTTATCTGATCTTCATAATGCCTCTTTCAGTACATGTACTATAAATAATTGACAGGATACAAATATGATAGTCTAAGATCTATAAAACTAAATGTTTAGCGGGCATTGCACACATATACATGTAGAGCCCTGCAGCGTTTTCTTGTAGGTGTTTCTTGAAACCAGAAGTGGTACTACAACACCACCAGACCTATATCACTCCCAGGCTTGATCCACTCTTATTCGCCAACCCTGAACAGACAATTAACAGCCACAAGTAAATACACATATAATATGATATAGGTTATATTTGATTTGTTTCTATGGGAAGTGATAAGGCCGCTTTAAACTCCAATTGTTAAATTTTGTCAGCCTTGTTGTTTGTACTTCACTGTAAGTGGTGTAAGAACAGACATGTTTTTTGCTTTTATCTGGATGACATGTGCAAACACTTACTTTCTGTTTTTACTATGGTTAGTCTATTTACTTATGTCATACTGACAATAAAACATGGTTCTGTCAAGTACATGTGGTACCCAATAAACAATTTCATATAAAACTACATGTAACAACAATTTTAGTCTCCAAATGATGTTTTATTAGGTTCAGCTCTCCGGCCAAATAAAACTGAAAATAAGCTCCTTATTGAAAGCACACAAGATAGATCTTTAATTAATTGTGCGCCCTTGATATAGGCCTTTTTGTTAAAAAACCATAAACATTTATAATAAGAGTCCCTGAAATAGGTCTTAATTTGAGAGTCCTTGAAATAGACTCTTAATAGAGACCCATTGAAATAGACCTTTAATTGTGGGTCCAGAGATTGAAAGCAGTATAAAATAATTGCATATATTATGTATATTTGTCACATGTATGTGCATTGTATCAATATAAATCACCTTCCTGTCCAAATACAACCAGTTACTAAATAAATATTCATAACAGCATAAAAACAAATAACTTGTATTATAAATCAATATTCCACGGTACTTGAAAGCTTTATTGTAATATTTTTTATATATTCTGTGAGCAAGACCTTTTATGAAATAATTCCTTTAGGAAATTGATCTCCTCTGAAACTTAATATAACTGGAAATTGTTATTATAAATAACATGTACATGAAGCAGGTTATTTATTTTTAATGGCTAAATTTGATTTATTTAGACATCTCTCCAGGAATAATGTGTTTTATCGAATATGACACTGAATTCACCCACTGCCATTTGCTACATGTACCATATTGAGAATAGCAAATTCTATTAATGGTCTGAAACATCAGGTTGTCTGGTTCCCTTCGGAATGGTCTATAAATGTACAAAGTCCTCTGGCTGTTATTATGTGTCCTTTTTAAGCTGCAATATGAAATTAATGAAAATACTGCTATGCCTATACCCCCACCTCTGTTCTATGGTTATTTTGAAGTCCTTAATTTGTATTTTCCATCGCAACTTATTCTTAGTTCGCTAAACGGAATCATTTCTCAACACATCTGACACAAATTTACAACAATATTTTCAGGTAGAATTTTGAGATTCAAAAAAATATTCAAAATATATTTGAATTGGTCCGCCATTACGAGATCACCGCTTATTTAGACATCTTTTGTTTATGTTTTTGAATAGCAAAATTCTACTTGAAAATATTGTTGGCTTTTTATAAATTGTTTTTTGGGGTTTCTTTTGAGTTTCGTAAATGTTTCAATTATTGTATTGCACTAATTGCTATTTGGTAATGTCGGAAAATCTATTGTGATTCCGGGTGGTGAGGTTATTTGTACACGAAAAAATGTATCTTTTGGAAATTCTTATAAAGTGACGTCTAACTAACTATAGCCAAGGAAAGATTGACACCACCCTTGTTTTTCCAAGGCATTTCTGTAACAACCACATGGACCAGCTATCCATACACTCAGCTGTGAACATAAGTCTTGCACACTAACATCTGATTGTCATTATATCATCAGAAAAATTCTGGGATTTCAGACCTGACAAATGACAATAGACTCTGCCAATTAATCTTGTTTGCATTTTTTCTTCTAGCACCACCTAAGAGAGTTTAGTTAGAATCTTTTGTAATAAATTACCACTAATTTGAAATGCTTGGAGCGTTATTACATGTAGATGTACCATTAAAAGATTGTTAATTTTCATATATTATTTTATCCTGTTATATTTTTATCAGGTTCACTGGTTTGAACAGCAGATCCATAGACCCAGATATAAAAGAGATCATATACCTAATCCAACTGCTGATAATTTAAATGATAATTTATATGGTGCACAGTGGTATCTGGTACGTATATTTACTTAATGTCTTGAAAATTTATAGGATTTTTAGGCAATATGATTAAAATACAGATCTATATTTGGTTTTGTTTCTTTATACTTTGGATGGCCTCTACTATATGTACATGAAGGTCTGACCAGTTGTAGTGGGAGGTCGTGTCAGAGGTCACACAAGTGACTTTTGACCCTATGGCGTCAGACATTTGATTAGCCAATCAGCGCTGATGTTTCTACTGGGTTACCCACAGTTCCGTGCAACTCACGCCAAAAACTCGCCATAACAAACCGTTTCATTGGCTAATCCCTCACATTATCCAGAACGTGGGTTATTTATATAACAACTCTTCCAGATCCTAGTGTAGTAGTAAAGACAAGTAAAACAAAATTTTAAAGTTTAAAAAACGAAACGAAATAGGATCTGTGTTTTAATCAGATTGATTTTTAGACAAATGTTGAATCTCTTATTTTTCAACAGATGCAAAGAAAGTTACCTACTTTGGGTACTAATTGAATTCGTACAACAAAAATATAGCCTATTCTAACAGTTTTTGGATGAAATCCTAATTGCTTATCAGATTCTGATATTGCTGTCACACTTAAAGAGAAAACATGACACACTGTGACAAAAACAAAGAAATCCACATGTGTACAGAGACATGCAAACCCACAACCAATTATTAATATGTATAAATATGATAGAGTGTATATTAAAGGGACATTATACATGTAAATCTGCCTATTGCAGGTCTTTGTTTATGCCTCAAATGACATGTTATTATTAATTAGATTTTACCAAGACCATATGCAACTCTTAATGCCATCAGATTCACAAGATTTTCAAAAGATTTAAATAGAAATTACAGAGGTTATACAATATAGAGAGCTATTTTCACAAACAGTAGTTTCAGATTATTTTGGGCTGTCCATGATGCATTATACTGGTATAAAATATATTGCTTTTCTGTGAATTTTTCAAGAACTAGGGTAAACACTATTGACATATTCCACATGCTACAGTATTAAGATCATTACAATCAAATACATGTCATATTCTTAAACAGGGATTATACAAGAGCTAAATCTGCCCATTGCAGGTTTTTCTTGCGGCCATAAATGTTATATAAATTATTAGACAATTATTAACATGACAAGACCATGATCAACCCTAGATGCAATCGGATGGCTCCAATTTTAAGTAGATTAGAATGGTTCGGCCATTTAATGATTTAATTTAAAAATGGAGAAGCAAGGCTATGGCTTGAATGACCAACACAGTGGTTACGATCACTACAACCATTGATAACTTCGCTCAAAATAAATTAATTTGAATGAAATTTTCAATGTATTGAATTTGATTTATCTATTTTTGAAATATTATAGCGAGAACGACAAGCTCTTTATCTAAGTATTACATAATGCCCCACTAACAAAAAATTATTAAAATCACTCAATCATTTTGACTGTTAACCCCAATATTTATTATAGGGTAAAGTATTTTTAATCCTAGCATAAGTTATGACCATTTGAAGTTTACACTACATTAGCTTCGTTTATTCAGCTGTAGTAATGCCTTCAACTTCTTTACTCAACTGTAATGTACCTTTAAGAACAATTACATGTATTAAAATCTGTCTGTTCTTTTGTCCAAAAGAAACCTCAGACATTTATAGGTTACAGCGTCAATCAAAATATAAGTTATGACCATTTGAAGCTAATGCTGTATAATTGGCTTTCATTATTCCACAGCTGTGCCTTCATATATTTCTATTTGTTAACTTTAATTATATATATAAAAAGTTTCATATGTTATTTCCACAGCTGTGCCTTCATATATTTCTATTTGTTAACTTTAATTATATATATAAAAAGTTTCATTTGTTATTTCCTATGTATCTTTCTTTTTCCACTGCCGTGGCATCAAATATATTTTAATTTGTTTACATATACCTTAAATGATATGTAAAAAGTTTTATTAGCCTTTTGTCATTTTGTCTGTTAAAAGAAACCAACATTTATAGGGTTAAAATACTTTTAAACTTGGCCTGTATCGTAATGTGTTTGTCTTCATTGTCATTATATTACTTCATGTTTAATTGTTACAGAACTGTCCTGTATAAAAGTCTTTATGACAGCCAAATGATAGTTTATTTATTCTACAACTCAGAAGAAATCTATACTGTTTATTCAGCTATTTTCTGTAGGTGGTTAAACAAGATCTATTTTCAGTAGATCGTAAAGTAATATACACAGGTAGATGGACAGGTGCTGTAGCATTTATATTGATGAAAAGAAGTAAAAGGCCTAATTTAGAAAAACATGGGAATGTTGTGGTTTCATCCCAGTGGATATGTCTGTTCTCAAACAGAGTGGTTGTATATTTTCGTAATTGATGACCGATGTTGTTGAGAAAACACTGAACACAATATTCCACATTTTGGGAAATTGGCAATTATAACAAAGCTGCTTTACAATTGTGAGGGAATAACGTAAATCTTTCGATATGAACTGATATCAACATATTGCGTCGATGATGTATCATATCCCTCAAAGTTAGGGAGGTAATTGGTCCCTACAGTCGGCTTAATTATTCATGATTACAGATTAATTGACAGCTGGCAGAGCATGGTATGCTACGTAATTTCCGACAAACTAATACATATATTGAGAGTCAATGATAAGCTTTTCCGTATAATGAGGGCTATGATATAGCATCCACCAACATTACTACTCAAAGTAAAGGTTAAACCAAGAATGTAACAGTATTTTAACAAATCTACCTGTTTATTAAAGATACATTATGGGAGATTAGATAACGAGTTGGCAGTTCTCACTATAATAGTTAATGTAAAGGCAATTTGCGGTTGAAAGTTCCGCATAGCCTCGGTCATCATTACTAAAGTCGGTACGACAAAAATCATAGTCTCGATTATCCACTTAATCATTAAATCGAGAAGGAAAACTATGCAGCAAATTGGATCATAATCCAACAATTATCGCAGGCTAGCCTTGACATCGAGAGTTGATTATGGTCTGGATAAGTTAATTAATGTCCAATTAATAATTTAGAAAACATTTCAGGCCTAAAGAAAGAACTCCAATAGGCAGATTTAGCTCTTGCATAATGTATGTTTAAAGAATCTACATGCTGTACACAAAATCTAAAACTTGTCATATTTTCAAAAACTAGGTAATAGAGTCTAGATATTTGAACCAAAAGAATTCAACCCTTTTAGCAATTTGTGAATGTCGAACTTCAATTTACATGTAAATATTTGACAGGACAAATGAACACCTTGGGTAATCAAACACATTGACTCCTTTTAATCATTGCTTGAGAAACTGGGACTTCAGTTAATAATTCATTATTTTACATAATGAAGCAAGCCGTTTATTTTTAAATAGCGCTAAACGAAATGCACACTTGTTAATTGAAGTTTAGTTATCATAATTGAATGGTATCTTTAAACTTAAGTACAACAACCCAAATGTTTCGTGATAAATTTGACGAGTTTCCAAACCTTGATTTGAAATTGAACGGTCTACAAAGAATTGAGAGCTAAAGAGAAACTGTTTAAAATACACATTCTATAGTGGTATACACTATATAAACTTAAGTGGAAATTAAGAAATACATACATGTAGTATTAAACGATTTTAATTTACTTCAGACTTTATAAGAGGTAGACCATTGTCTTACAAGTAGCTATATACAAACTTCATGTAATTAAAAACAAAGATGTTGTCGTAGAACTAGATTCAGATTCTAATTCCGTCTGACTATTGTGTGTTTATAATTTATGGCAGACATCATGTGATATTTAATTGTTCTGTTATGACAATGCCGGCTAAGTCGTTAACAGTGTTTATTTATAACAGATTTTAAAGGGGATTAAATGCAATGAAGTCATGATTCCGCATAATACATGTATACTTTCAGACACTTTAATCAATCTGGTTTGAAAACGACGATCATTGTCAAGTTAGCTTAAACATACATGTACATTATGAAAGAGCTAAATCTGCCTATTGCAGGTCTTTCTTTAGGCCTGAAATGTTTTCTAAATTATTAATTAGACATTAATTAACTGATCCAGGCCATAATCAACTATCATTGGCATCGGATTGCTCTGATATTAAATAGATTAGAACGGTTCAGACATACTTTGATTTAATCTAAAAAAAGGAGGAGCGAGACTTGGCTTCGAACAACCAGTACGGTGGTTGAAATTATTGCATACATCTTCTCAAACCTTCAAAGGCTAATATCTTCGCTCGCAATAGAGTAATTTGAATGAAATTTTCAAATTATTCATTTTACATGATCTATTTTCAAACTATAGCAAGAATGGCTAGCTCTTTATCTAAATCTTACATAATGTATACTTTAAGTTTGTTGGCCAACACAAAGGTGCAAGGGGAAAGTGAATCAATTTAAAAAATCTTGTTCAATTCCTGTCTTCAAGAAGGCTAAGTATCTGAAGCTCAAAATTGCTAGCTCCAACTATCTTAGTGCATGTGCATTTCTCTATTTATTTTCGTAAATTCGCGTCAGAATGATTTTAAACAGGCTTTGCTTATATTATATAATGTGTAAATACAATACTTGCCAGGATTTAAAAAGCAGTTGTTTTTATACTAGCTTTTATATGACTGTTTGAATGTGTAGAACTTATTGCCATATGTACATTTTGTTTAGATGTGAAAAATACATTGTTTAAATCAGGATACTGGCTTACAAGTGTAACAGATTTACCATTAACAAGTTGACATTGGGTAAAAATGTACTAAAATTCTACTCATGAAAACAATTGTATTAAGAATAACTGATTTAAATAAAAATTATTAGCAACACTGTGAGTATCTCCTGCAACCGAGTTGAGTAAAAATTGTGATTGATGTACATGCATGTTCAATAAACATTTGACAGAGCTCCTGCGGATTATTCGCTCCATGAAAATCAAGGAAAAACAACATGACAATTACTAAAATTGCAAACCAGCATTCCCA